TGCACGTTCTTGTCACCTTCATTATCACTCTGCACGTTCTTGTCACCTTCATTAACCCTCTGCACGTTCTTGTCACCTTCATTACCGCTCTGCACATTCCTGTCACCTTCATTAACCACTTCAAGACCAGGTGTTTAGACCCCCTTCCTGGCCAGGCCATTTTTCAGTATTCAGCGAAAAATATCGGCCATTTCCCGCAGGGCGCGTGTCTGAGCGGACGTCCAAAGACGCCCGTTTAGATCTAGAGAGCTCCCGGCCGACCCTTTTTTATTACGGCCGGCCCGGAGGTAGTTAAGGCTCTGCACTTTCCTTTTCCCACCATGCTTGCTCTGCACTTTCTTGGGAGCCATGCTGGATTGAATACAGTATACTGTACAGTAAAAGCTTCACAGTAAGTGTGCACAGCTCTGTCTGCAACCGTCAGGAAGCCACGACAGATCGCCGAAGATGGCCACAATCGTGTTCGTCACCCGATGCAGAGCTTGTGAACGGAGGCAAAATTTTGCCGAACTTCCTGTTTGCGCACTGAATTGTTTGCGAACAGAAGCATTTGTGAACCAAGGTAACACTGTAATTAGAAAGTATACATTGCAATCAAAAAGGAGCTAAGTAGGGTTGCGATAGTAGATAGATAGTCCAGCATCACTGGCGTAACTATCACCGTAGCGACCCATGCGGTCACTATGGTGCCCGGGGTAGAGGGGGGCCCTGTCGGGAGGCCGGGGCCCAGCAGTAGAGGTGGAGGAGGCCAGGACCCAGCAGTGCCCGCTCTGGCAGCAGCGGTGGATTAGGCTGGATTAGGCTGGCCAATCCAGCGGCCAGTGGTGTAACAACCAGCGGGAGGGGGGAGCCAAGGATGATGCTGCCCCGTGCGCGAAGATAGATGCAAGCATCAGTGACCGGGCAGTAAGGAGTGAGCCAGGATGGCCGAGCGGCAAACACAGGCAGCGCATCAGGTAAATTATGCGGCAGCACTGGGGCCTCAGCTGCGATAACACAGCCAGCAGCCGCTTCATTAGAGAGAGGCCTGTCTGCGCTGTGGTGTTCCCAGCATGCACATACAGTCCCCCCCACTGCTCCCAGAGTGTTTTGTTTTTTCAGCCTCCCCTGAGCTTCTTCTGGTCATGCTGTCTGCTGTGAGTGAAGCCCAGAGCTGACAGAAGGACAGTGTCAGGAGAAGTTACTTTCAAGTTCAACCTCTATTCTATTACTCAGCACCCAGTAACTCACAGCATGCTCTTATTCTCTCTGGACACCCCCCAAATATAATTTAGGGAACTACAAGTCCCAGCATGCCCTTATTGTCCCTGTACCTCCCCCCTGGGGGAAAGTACAGGGACAATGTGGTATGTGGGGAGAGTAAAGGTACAATAAGGGCATGCTGGGACTTGTAGTTTCTTTAGGGATATTTGGGTGATGCACAGGGACAGTGCTGGGACCGCCCACACAGCCATGGTGAGACCCCATACAGCCCTGGAGAGACCACAACCACTCGCACAGCCCTGGTGAGACCGCACACATCCCTGGTAAGACCCCGTACAGCACTGGGGAGTCCCGGCACAGCCCTGGTGAGACCACATCAACTCACACAGCACTGGAGACCCTGCACATAGCCCTGGTCAGACCCTGCACACAGCCCTGGTCAGACCCCGCACAGCCTTGTAAGATGCCACACAGCCCTAGTGAGCAACTCAGTGTGTGTACCTTCATATTATTTTGCATTGCTGTATAATGGATTAGTGGGATCTGCTTCCTCTACAGCTGGCATTATTCTGCATCGCTGTATAATGTATTGCTGGGATCTGTAGTCCTCTATAGCTGGTGGTATACTGCATTGTATAATGTATTGCTGGGATTTGTAGTCCCTCTACAGATTGGCTTCAGTGGCAAAACCACCAGGAATTAGCCTTACAATTAGAGGAACAGGGTGGATGGGGGGTTAATACAATGGGGGGCCCAACATTTTGTTCTGCACTGGGCGCCTGTAACTCTGGTTACGCCACTTTCTGGTTGCGGAGGATGCCGGGGCTGACAGGTAAGAGGAGCGCACCTGTGCACTGAAAGGGACCCCGACCAGCCCACCTGAGACCCTGAGCCCACTATAGAGAGTCTCGGGTGGATTGTGCAGGATTAATTGTGGGCTCTGCATCGTCACTCTTAGGTGGGCTGTGTGGGGTCTCAGGTGGGCTATGCAGGGTCTCTGGTATGTGCAGGATCTCGACTGGGCTCTGCAGGGTCTCAGGTGGGCTGTGCAGGGTCTATGGTGGGCTCTACAGGGTCACTCTCAGGTGGGCTGTGTGGGGTCTCAGATGGGCTCTGCAGGGTCACTGGTATGTGCGGGGTCTCAGGTGAGCTGTGTGGAATTTCAGGTGGGCTTTGCGGGGTATATGGTGGGCTCTGAAGTCTTCTTACACTCCGACATGAAAGGAGCAGAGCTGAAGAGACAGATGGCGGAGGTACGGGAACATGTTCTGGCGCCAAGTACTTTTTTTAGGGGACCCTGTGATTTCTAGTTATGCCCCTGTCCAGCATCATAAAATAAGGATGGATCAAAACTAGGAAGAGGTACAGCATAACACTCTAATAATAAGTACTAGTGTTTGTAAGGCAAAACACAGCAACAAAGTTGGGGAGGATCTACTCAGCACGACCATCAAGACATGTGATTCAACTAAGGTGTATTAAATATGGAGGCTCAGGGTAAAAAAGAGCCCAGAGGACCAAGGTCCTTTGAATGAAAATAATATAAAGTCCTCAACGGTAAGGAAAATTAGATATGATAAAGAAGCCTAAGTGGTCACAATAGACAGAGCCTCCCCAACTATCAGTAAAAATATAAATGCAAAAATTGTAGAAAAAACCCCCAAAAACTTTGAAATGAGAAGATAAGGTTCCAATTATAGATCCCATGAATGTAGGAGAAACAGGGTATCAATCCTCACTCAAGTGGTTACCAGAGCAGCACGAGCAAGGTAGCAACCGGGGAAGTAGAAAGGAATACTCTCAGGGAATTCAGAACTGTAAGCCTTGTGAAGTCATCCCGGTGATTCCGCTCAAAGAGAGATCTTGGAGACCGATGCATGGGAATTTCTAGATGTAGGTGGATGGGAGTCGTTACGAAGCCTCTTAGGTGTAGAAGAGGGTAGCGACAATAGGGTAGAAAAGAAATGGCATCCGATAAACCCAAGGATTCAAGTCGAGCCTGTAATTTCCCCAGTGTAGTGTAGGAGTGATTGCATCAGACATAGAGGAGACGAAAAGGAAAGCCCCATTTATAGGAAATATGATGACGGAGAAGAACATCTAGTCCAGGCTTAAGCCAACGCCTCTTAGCAATGGTAGTATGCGCTAAATCTGTGTATAGCTGATATTCATGGCCCCTAAAGATGAGCAAACCCTGGATAGATTTCTCCTGGGCAGCAGAGATGAGTCGTTCCTTAGATCGAAAATAGAGTAGTTTGACCACAATATCTCTTCGGGGGACCTTCTGGTTTTTTACGGGTCAGCGCTCGGTGTACTCTTTCAATTTCCAGGCAATCAACTGGGAGATCCGGAGCAAGTTCTTGAAGAAGGGTGAGGGTAGTGGAAAACAGGTCTTGGACGTGTTCAGGAATGCCCCTGATACTTAAATTAGAGCTACGAGATCTGTTCTCTGCGTCCTCTATTTTGTATAAAAGGATTTTGTTGTCTTCGCGTAAAGTATCCACATCTCGTTGAAGGAATATAATAGTTCCAGAAAGATCATCAAAATGGTCTTCCAATGCTGAGGTTTGCCGCCCTATCTCTCTGATTTCTGTCAGAAGGCGATCAGTTATTTGTTTGGAAGTAGAAAGCAATGCCTTCTGCAGCATCGTATCAAATTTCTTGAGGAGGGCTGAATGAGAGCGAGGGAGATATGGAGTGTCAGCCGCGGCATCACCATTCATCTTACGGCTGGAAGTAGAGTGAGCCGAGGGAGGAGGCTCACATGGAGTTGAGGGCGGCAGTTGGTTAGCCGAGGCCCGGGCGAGCACTTCTGCTATTGGCTTGTTCTTTGATTTCTGCGATTCTCCGGCTCCTGATCGCCGCATGATAGATGCAGGTGATGTTCACCTATGTGATGGAGAAGATCCAGGTAAATG